GTTAATCAGCAAGGAGCATTTCTAGTTCTAGTTCGACAAAATCTAAAAAACACATAATACAAAATTCTAATTCGTGTTGTGGAGAATGTATCCCCTATACGTAACTTTTAATCGGTATGTCTTATAACTGATGAATGATGCGAATGTTCCTTATTTCAAAGACAATGATTTGTACCAGAGGCAGATGCTTCCTGAATCAGTCCAGATGTTAATCGGCAAGGAGCATTTTTAGTCCTAGTTCGACAAAATCTATTTAAACACGTAATACAAAATAATAATTTGTGTTGTGGAGAATGTATACCCTATACGTAACTTTTAAGTGGTATGCCTTGTAACTGATGAATGATGCGAATGTTCTTTATTTTAAAGACAATTTGTACCAGAGGCAGATGCTTCCTGAATCACGAAAAATATCAGTTGACCCGTATCACAAGAACAGCTCTCACGTGAGTCATCTGTACAGGTTACTTCCAAAACACACACTTTCTCCTACAATCACGTATTCCATGTTTGACCTTATAGACAAAATGTTACATGTACGCACAAATCAGACAAGTATTCATTAAATTATAATTCTAAATTATAAATACACATATTGACAAAATGTAATTACTGCACTGAAATGTACTTCATCATGTTATATCGTATTTACAAGGAGTCTGTCGGATGAGGCCTCCATCTGCAGCACTCAAATTGAGGGAAGCCAAGTGGAAGTGCATTCTCTTTTTGTTGCAGAGGTTCAAGGTTCACATCCGACAGACATCCCTGGTTAGTCCAGGAACATGAATTACAGCTGATTCTAAAACATACTGTCATTCAAAACGTGTATGCGATTGCATGCTGGCGTTGTGGTTAAAATTTGGCAAATTCTAAACATTATCCACAAATTACACAACTGAGATTACACATCAATCATCGCCCCCTACTAACAGACTCATACCCACATGCAGGCTGGTGCAGGACCACCCTATGCCACACAGGGGCAGCTACCACTTGGGGGTGCTTGTTGTATAAATTGTCTTGAAATATTTTTTAATGAAATTTTTTATTAATTAAGCTAATTTAAATGAGGCTCGGCTTAGTTATTTAGGGGTGTATTACCAATCGTGATAATACAATGGAAAATGTGTCATTTTATGAAATTCTGTAAATGTATGCAATTATACCAATAAGGCTCAGCTTCGTTGTCATGGGTGTATTACCAATCGTGATAATACAATGATTCTCGCTTTAACTTTTACTGATTTTGTTTAAGTGTAATTCTATCAGGTCTCAGAATTCAGATCGTGCCGTGGAATACAGTTCTTATAATTAAGATTATTTAGCATGAACTTGGGAAGGAACCACTCAGACTCATCTATGTTAAGAAACTTTAATATCTAAAAACACTCTATGTGAACACGCTTGTGATCGGAATTGTCAACACCGAGCTCCTGAAGATGTCCTACTCATTGATCCGTACCATTAACCGTCAATGGTTACGTTTATTAAAACTGAGTAATAGAACAATCGGCTAACTCCTCCGAGGAGCGCGACCATACAAGGCAATAGGAAAAGTCCATTAAAAAATTACAATATTCATACGAAACAATCTAAAGAAACACGTGCCCAAAGGCAAAAATAGACATCAATTAATTCATTGGTAAGATATGCAATGAACGAAATGTCCTGAAACAAGAGTGTGAGTGCTAGTGTGCCTGTTTGGCTAACATATGCTTATAAATTGGCGAATGGGACATAAATGAATTCGCGGACAGGATTCTGTGATCAAAATAAAAATCTCAACACAATAGTATTCCTGTGTGTAGATTTGTAACACAGATGCTGACAAATGTTAAGTGTGTCATCAATTAATTCATTGGTAAGGTTATGCAATTAATGAAACTAAATGACTAAAATACTTATAAATGATCGAATTCATGTAACTCGAGGGACAGAACAATGCTTTTCACGAACAACTAATAGTTAACACACCACCTTGGGATGGAAACCCTTTTCGAAACACAAAGGCAACTTTTTGGAACAATCTTATTAGTACCAATATGCGCGTTGTGTGTGGGTGTGTGTTGTCTTCTTGCAAACTGTTCAGTTAGCCGCTTCCGAGGTGCAGCGTTCCTTGGACCGAAAATCCCCAGCAGGGGCGCTGGGTCGGCGTGTCTGTCGAACACACGGTGCTCTCGGCTGCTTCGTCAGTCTCTCTCCACTGCTGGGGTGGTTGCCGAGTCGGCACGCTGGTCACGCTGTCGGCGGTGCCCGTGCTGGCAGAGATGATGGGTCCAGCTCAGTCTGCGTCGATGTGCGCGATGATCCCGTCGCAAGACACCGCTCGCAGTTCGTACGCTGGTTGGCGCGCATCACAACCCCTTGGCACCAGACACTGTTGATCCTTGTCGACTGTGGAACGACTTGGAGAGACAGGGCCTGTCGTCTCCCCCCCCGCTCCCTCTTCAACAGAGTCCTCTTCAGTTGTCTGTACGACTCGTGCTGCACAGATGACATGCTAGAGATAAAGTTATATCGTTCCGTGTCAGTCTCTGATCCGACCCTAAACTAAACTTCGCCTGTAGGTTCCGATTTCAAGGGGCACTCTCACGAGTAGTGGTTGCACCAGCTTTCCCTCGAAGGGTTGACTTTGATCGGAGCATAATTGGAACTATTATCACTATGGTCGTAATGGTTGGCTGTACACAGCGACCTCGCCACCGGGAATAGTAATGCTAGGCACTCTTCCCCACGTTTGTATTGTAATACTGTGAGCACCAGCCTTGGCTGGCAGCCTCTCAATTATGCAAAAAATAACTCTGTGATGCAGAGCTCCCTATCACTCTCAGTACTTCTTTTTCTTTCATATGGCATTCTGAAAAGCAACAGTTTTTATTTTTAATGATCGTCATAAATGAATGCAAAGGTTCATCGAGTCCAATGATGCGGTTGACGCAGTGTGGAATTCAGCGATACCGCCAGGATGTGCATGGATGGAGCAATTATTTGAGCAGTACTGATTTATGGTCTTGCATTCTTGCTTATATCTGAATTTTTCCACCTCAGGCACTTTCTTATAAAGGGGCAGCTTTTTCCTTTTGAAGTCGCTTGAGCTGTTTGTTGTCCAGACGTCTTTATTACCGCCATGTTTCTGTTCACGTTTTGGGGACCATTCCCCACTCTCCCACCACGGGCTGGAAGTGTTTAAAAAAATTCGCATCAGACTTGCAGTCTCTCTCAAAAAGGGGCGCTGTAGCCTTTGAAGTCGTGACCTATTGTGCACGGGTGTGCCTGCTGTCGCCATGTATTCCGTTCTCTCATCACGGGTTTGAAGTAAAACATATATTATTCACCTCTTATAGCTTGGTACCGTACCACGTTCTGCAGTTTTGACTCTGCAAGTGACTCGAAGTACGTTTTGAGCAGCGTTCACAGCACTCACGTCGCGGTTTGGAATTCTGGCATGGTATTTGACATATTAGGGGGAGGCACCCCGCTGCATACATAATTTACTGATAACATGCGCTGTTAGCCTCCCCAAACAGGTTTGTGAGTAATTATCCTCCAGCTGTCTTTTGTGTCGCATGGCCGGAGGCAGCGGGTGGGGGGGGGGCTCACCCTTTCCATGCCCCAGCGCTGCATCCCGATCAATATTATTACAAAAAAACATGGGCAGAATCACTCAATATAACATGCTCATTCGAGTGAGAATAGGGTTTCTCCTTTTTTATGGAAACAGGTGTTGAGATGTTAAAATACCAAACTGAAACCTTTTTACAAGGAATCATGTCTGCATTAACCACAATACTTGAGGTCAGAATGCAAACAAAAAACACTGATAATATATTGTCTTTGAAACAGATTGGTCCACACCAGAAACAGCTTTCTTTCGAGCCTAGTCTCAAACGGTGTTAGACCAGAGGACGCTAAACGGCGTGCTCTTCGAGTGTTTGTGATGAGATGATACAAAACTCTGAGTTACTAAGGCGATTAAAGCAAGCACCATATAAATGCTAATATTATTATAACAGTGAATGCTTGGGAGCTTATTGGCTCTCGCTCATAGTTAGATCTACCCAACCCACAGGTCCGCAAATATTGACCGCTCTTACTCTGCAGGTTGAACCTAGGAATGGAGTATTCAACTTCACGTTCTTTTCATTAAAGGCCTGGGACAAAGGTGAATCTATTGGAGCTTCATTGTCTCAAGCTTACACATCTACCAGGTCTCCATTTGACTTTGTATTGTCTAAGAAGTCCATCCACACCTCCACTTCCACAAACTGCTGGGAGTTGCCTCGCTCTGCCTCACAGTCAGAATTCTCCTCCTGCTTCACGTTGCCTCCATCGATGTGTAGGTCCGATTTTGGAGTTGAATCTTCATCTTCACATTTTACCTTCACATCTTCGCTCTTCACCATCATATCTTCACATTTTACCTTCACTTCTTCGCTCTTCACTATCGCCTCTTCACATTTCACTTTCGCCTCTTCAAATTTCACCTTGATACATTTCCTAGTGTCCAAGCTGGAATTAACTTCTGGTTCTTTGTTCGGGAGGGATGGGCTCATTGCAGCACTTTGACTTTCACAAGTCGATTTCAGACTACACTCCTTGGGGATCTTCTGATGCCTGTGTGTTCTCTGGTGTCTATGAAGCTGTGGTGACTGTGCAAATGCCTTCCCGTACTGAGTGCACTTGAAGAGTTTATCTTCTGTGTGTATTCTCTGGTGCACTTTAAGATAAAATGAACTTGAATATGCCTTCCCACACACAATGCACTTGAAGGGTTTCTCTCCTGTGTGCGTTCTCTGGTGTATTTTAAGATTTGATGACTGTGAAAATTCCTTCTCACACACACTGCACTTGAAGGGGTTATCTCCTGTGTGTATTCTCTGGTGTATTTTAAAATAAAATGAACTTGAAAATGCCTTCCCACACACACTGCACTTGTTTGGTTTATCTCCTGTGTGCGTTCTCTCGTGTATTTTAAGATTTGATGACTGTGAAAATGCCTTCTCACACACACTGCACTTGAAGGGTTTCTCTCCTGTGTGTGTTCTCTGGTGGACCTGAAGACCTGATGCCCATGCAAATGTCTTCTCACACACAGTGCACTTGAAGGGTTTCTCTCCTGTTTGAGTTCTCTGGTGCTGTGTTAAATTTCCAGTACTATCTATGCTGTTTGCATACTGGTCCCATTGTTGTTTTTTACCAAGCTGCGCTGAGTGCCTTTGCTCCATCAAAACAATTCTGCAGAGGAAGCGTCAGAAGAAGGGTCAGCTGCAGACAGAAAAAAATATCCACACAATCTACGTCAGTATCGAGGCACAGAGGAATGAATATATACACAGTCACGTATGACATACACGTCTATATTTATTTATATACTAGCGGTAAGTACCCGGCATTGCCCAGGTCAAAAAATATTTTAAAACTACTATTAAAAACCTTCCATATACATACACAGATACTAAGATATTGTGAAAGCCCGGTGGGCCATTTGTCCATATCACCACCAACAAAATTATAAGAGGCTTGCAAAAGTCTAAAAAGTAATAGAAAGTGTGGGGTAAATAGTTGATCTAAAAGGTTTCCAAAAATTGTGGACACCCCCCCCCCTCCCCCCAAAAAATATATTTACCCCCACGTAGGTATCTATACCTACACACCATACATACAACAGAGTAAGTAGTATCTCTTGACTCTATAGTTGTATCTACTGACTGTACAGTAGTATCTACTGAGCCAGTAGTAGCTACTGACTGTGTAGTAGTATTTGCTGATTGTAGCAGTAACTACTGACCGTAGTAGTATTTACTGGGCCTGCAGTAGTATCTACCGAATCTATAGTAGTAACGACTAACTGTATAGTAGTATCTGATGACTCTATAGTAGTATCCACTGACTATAGTAGTAACTACTAACTCTACAACAGTATCTACTCACTCTATAGTAGTATATACTGACTGCAGTAGCTACTCACCGTAGTATGTGCTGACTGTATAGTAGTATATACTGACTGTAGCAGTATTGGCTGACTGTAGCGGTATATACTGACTGTTTTAGTATCTTCTAACTCTATATAGTAGTATCTACCAACTCGATAGCAGTATCTCCTATCACTACAGAAGTGCATACCGACTGAGGTGGTACCTGCTATCACTACAGCAGTGCATACTGACAGTGGTGGTACCTGCTATGATTACAGCAGTGCATACTGTGCTGGAACCTGCTATGATTACAGCAGTGCATATTATGGTGGTACCTGCTATTACAGCAGTGCATACTGCTGTGGTGGTACGTGCTATGATTACAGCATTGCATACTGACTGGTGGTACCTGCTATGATTACATCAGTGCATACTGTGCTGGAACCTGCTATGATTACAGCAGTGCATATTGTGGTGGTACCTGCTATTACAGCAGTGCATACTGACTGTGGTGGTACCTGCTATGATTATAGCAGTGCAAACTGCTATGGTGGTACCTGCTATGATTACAGCAGTGCATACCGACTGTGGTGGTACCTGCTATGATTACAGCAGTGCATACCGACTGTGGGGGTACCTGCTATGATGACAGTAGTGCATACCGACTGTGGTGGTACCTGCTATGATGACAGCAGTGCATACCGACTGGTGGAACCTGCTATCACTAGAGCAGTGCATACCGACTGTGGTGGTACCTGCTATGATAACAGCAGTGCATACCGACTGTGGTGGTAGCTATGATTACAGCAGTGCATACTGTGGTGGTACCTGCTATGATTACAGCAGTGAATACTGACTGTGGTGGTACCTGCTATGATTACAGCATTGCATACTGACTGGTGGTACCTGCTATGATGACAGCAGTACATACTGATGGTACATATGATGACAGAATTACATAGCAAGTGTGGTGGTAACTGCTATGACAGCAGTACATACTGTGGTGGTACCTGTAATTACAGCAGTGCATACTGACTGTGGTGGTACCTGCTATGATTACAGCAGTGCATACTGCTGTGGTACCTGCTATGATGACAGCAGTACATACTGTGTGGCACCTGCTATGATGACAGCAGTGCATACCAACTGTGGTGGTTCCTGCTATGATTACAGCAGTGAATACTGTGGTGGTACCTGCTATGATTACAGCAGTGCACACTGCTGTGGTGGTAGCTGCTATGATTACAGCTGTGCATACTGACTGTGGTGGTACCTGCTATGATTACAGCAGTGCATACTGCTGTGGTGGTACCTGCTATGATGACAGCAGTACATACTGTGTGGCACCTGCTATGACAGCAGTACATACTGTGGTAACACCTGCTATGATGACAGCAGTAAATACTGTGGTGGTACCTGTTATGATAACAGCAGTACATACTGTGGTGGTACCTGCTATGATGACAGCATTACATACTGAGTGTGGTGGTACATGCTATGATGACAGCAGCACATACTGTGGTGGTACCTGCTATGATGACAGCAGTACATACTGTGGTGGTACCTGCAATGATGACGGCAGTACATACCGAGTGTGGTGGTACCTGCTATGATGACAGAATTACATACCAAGTGGGGTGGTACCTGCTATAATGACAGCAGTACATACTGTGGTGGTGGTACCTGCTATGATGACAGCAGTACATACTGTGGTGATGGTACCTGCTATGATGACCTCATTACATGCTGTGGTGGTGGTACCTGCTATGACAGCAGTACATACTGTGGTACTTGCTATGATGACAGCAGTACATACCGAGTGTGGTGGTACCTGCTATGATGACGGCAGTACATACCGAGTGTGGTGGTACCTGCTATGATGACAGCAGTACATACTGTGGTGGTGGTACCTGTTATGATGACAGCAGTACATACTGTGGTGGTACCTGCTATGAGAGCAGTACATACCGAGTGTGGTGGTACCTGCTATGATGACAAGTACATACCGATTGTGGTGGTACCTGCTATGATGAGAGCCGTACATACTGTGGTGGTGGTACCTGCTATGATGACAGCAGTACATAACGTGGTGGTGGTACCTGCTATGATGACGGCAGTACATACCGAGTGTGGTGGTACCTGCTATGATGACAGCATTACATACTGAGTGTGGTGGTACATGCTATGATGACACCAGTACATACTGTGGTGGTACCTGCTATGATGACAGCAGTACAAACTGTGGTGGTCACTGCTATGATGACAGCAGTACATACTGTGGTGGTGGTACCTGTTATGATAACAGCAGTGCATATTGTGGTGGTACCTGCTATGATGAAAGCAGTACATACCGATTGTGGTGGTACCTGCTATGATGACAGCATTACATACTGAGTGTGGTGGTACATGATATGATCACAGCAGTACATACTGTAGTGGTTCCTGCTATGACAGCAGTACATACTGTGGTGGTACCTGCTATGATGACGGCAGTACATACCGAGTGTGGTGGTACCTGCTATGATGACAGAATAACATACCGAGTGTGGTGGTACCTGCAATGATGACAGCAGTACATACTGTGGTGATGGTACCTGCTATTATGACAGCATTACATGCTGTGGTGGTGGTGGTACCTGCTATGATGACAGAATTACATAGCGAGTGCGGTGGTTCCTGCTATGACAGCATTACATACTGTGGTGGTGGTACCTGCTATGATGACATCAGTACATACTGTGGTGGTGGTACCTGCTGACAGCATTACATACTGTGGTGGTACCTACTATGATGACAGCATTACATACTGTGGTGGTACCTGCTATGATGACAGCAGTACATACTGTGGTGGTGGTACCTGCTATGATGACATCAGTACTTACTGTGGTGGTGGTACCTGCTATGACAGCATTACATACTGTGGTGGTACCTGCTATGATGACAGCATTACATACTGAGTGTGGTGGTACATGCTATGATGAGAGCAGTACATACTGTGGTTGTACCTGCTATGATGACGGCAGTACATACCGTGTGTGGTGATACCTGCTATGATGACAGAATTACATACCGAGTGTGGTGGTACCTGCTATGATGACAGCAGTACACTGTGGTGGTGGTACCTGCTATGATGACAGCAGTACATACCGAGTGTGGTGGTACCTGCTGTGACAGCAGTACATACCGAGTGTGGTGGTACCTGCTGTGACAGCATTACATACTGTGGTGGTACCTGCTATGACAGCGGTACATACTGTGGTGCTGGTACCTGCTATGATGACAGCAGTACATACTGTGGTGGTGGTACCTGCTATGATGACCTCATTACATGCTGTGGTGGTGGTACCTGCTATGACAGCAGTACATACTGTGGTACTTGCTATGATGACAGCAGTACATACCGAGTGTGGTGGTACCTGCTATGATGACGGCAGTACATACCGAGTGTGGTGGTACCTGCTATGATGACAGCAGTACATACTGTGGTGGTGGTACCTGTTATGATGACAGCAGTACATACTGTGGTGGTACCTGCTATGAGAGCAGTACATACCGAGTGTGGTGGTACCTGCTATGATGACAGAAATACATACCGATGTGGTGGTACCTGCTATGATGAGAGCCGTACATACTGTGGTGGTGGTACCTGCTATGATGACAGCAGTACATACTGTGGTGGTGGTACCTGCTATGATGACGGCAGTACATACCGAGTGTGGTGGTACCTGCTATGATGACAGCAGTACATACCAATTGTGGTGGTACCTGCTATGATGACAGCATTGCATACTGAGTGTGGTGGTACATGCTATGATGACACCAGTACATACTGTGGTGGTACCTGCTATGATGACAGCAGTACATACTGTGGTGATCACTGCTATGATGACAGCAGTACATACTGTGGTGGTGGTACCTGTTATGATAACAGCAGTGCATATTGTGGTGGTACCTGCTATGATGACAGAATAACATACCGAGTGTGGTGGTACCTGCTATAATGACAGCAGTACATACTGTGGTGGTGGTACCTGCTATGATGACAGCAGTACATACTGTGGTGATGGTACCTGCTATGATGACCTCATTACATGCTGTGGTGGTGGTACCTGCTATGACAGCAGTACATACTGTGGTACTTGCTATGATGACAGCAGTACATACCGAGTGTGGTGGTACCTGCTATGATGACGGCAGTACATACCGAGTGTGGTGGTACCTGCTATGATGACAGCAGTACATACTGTGGTGGTGGTACCTGTTATGATGACAGCAGTACATACTGTGGTGGTACCTGCTATGAGAGCAGTACATACCGAGTGTGGTGGTACCTGCTATGATGACAAGTACATACCGATTGTGGTGGTACCTGCTATGATGAGAGCCGTACATACTGTGGTGGTGGTACCTGCTATGATGACAGCAGTACATAATGTGGTGGTGGTACCTGCTATGATGACGGCAGTACATACCGAGTGTGGTGGTACCTGCTATGATGACAGCATTACATACTGAGTGTGGTGGTACATGCTATGATGACACCAGTACATACTGTGGTGGTACCTGCTATGATGACAGCAGTACAAACTGTGGTGGTCACTGCTATGATGACAGCAGTACATACTGTGGTGGTGGTACCTGTTATGATAACAGCAGTGCATATTGTGGTGGTACCTGCTATGATGAAAGCAGTACATACCGATTGTGGTGGTACCTGCTATGATGACAGCATTACATACTGAGTGTGGTGGTACATGATATGATCACAGCAGTACATACTGTAGTGGTTCCTGCTATGACAGCAGTACATACTGTGGTGGTACCTGCTATGATGACGGCAGTACATACCGAGTGTGGTGGTACCTGCTATGATGACAGAATAACATACCGAGTGTGGTGGTACCTGCAATGATGACAGCAGTACATACTGTGGTGATGGTACCTGCTATTATGACAGCATTACATGCTGTGGTGGTGGTGGTACCTGCTATGATGACAGAATTACATAGCGAGTGCGGTGGTTCCTGCTATGACAGCATTACATACTGTGGTGGTGGTACCTGCTATGATGACATCAGTACATACTGTGGTGGTGGTACCTGCTGACAGCATTACATACTGTGGTGGTACCTACTGATGACAGAATTACATACTGTGGTGGTGGTACCTGCTATGATGACAGCAGTACATACTGTGGTGGTGGTACCTGCTATGATGACATCAGTACTTACTGTGGTGGTGGTACCTGCTATGACAGCATTACATACTGTGGTGGTACCTGCTATGATGACAGCATTACATACTGAGTGTGGTGGTACATGCTATGATGAGAGCAGTACATACTGTGGTTGTACCTGCTATGATGACGGCAGTACATACCGTGTGTGGTGATACCTGCTATGATGACAGAATTACATACCGAGTGTGGTGGTACATGCTATGATGACAGCAGTACACTGTGGTGGTACCTGCTATGATGACAGCAGTACATACCGAGTGTGGTGGTACCTGCTGTGACAGCAGTACATACCGAGTGTGGTGGTACCTGCTGTGACAGCATTACATACTGTGGTGGTACCTGCTATGATGACAGCGGTACATACTGTGGTGCTGGTACCTGCTATGATGACAGCAGTACACTGTGGTGGTGGTACCTGCTGACAGCATTACATACTGTGGTGGTACCTACTATGATGACAGCAGTACATACTGTGGTGGTGGTACCTGCTGACAGCATTACATACTGTGGTGGTACCTGCTATGATGACAGCGGTACATACTGTGGTGCTGGTACCTGCTATGATGACAGCAGTACATACTGTGGTGGTGGTACCTGCTGACAGCATTACATACTGTGGTGGTACCTACTATGATGACAGCAGTACATACTGTGGTGGTACCTGCTATGATGACAGCAGTACATACTGTGTTGATACCTGCTATGATGACAGCAGTACATACCGAGTGTGGTGGTACCTGCTGTGAAGACAGCAGTACATGCTGACGTTATGCATCTTAAATGTGAAAGGTAAATTTGCGAGTATGTGTGTGTTCGAAATGTTAAGCATACTTGGCGACATGCAAGCAAGTTTTGAAATGGGGAATAGCGCGATTCTAAAGAAATCCACAACCTTCGATTCCTTTGCACGATTTAAAGAATCGATTCTTGGCGCGCTCTGGTTTTATGTTATTCTAAATTAATGAGTTATCTTTTCATTTGTATGTTGTTTTTAAGCTTTCAGACGTTTTAAAATATATTTCCCCGCTAGTAGCAGTATATATACATCGACTTTATTGCACAAAGTACTCACCTGACAGATTGCCGTGACGAGGCCTAGTCCCGTGCAAAGCCTCCGGCCTCGCCTAGATTGCCCGGCCGAGGCTGGGGCCTGGGCCGCTACCCCCCCCCCCCCCCGCACTACAATAATCCTATTTAATCGCTGTAATTTTAGTATCTACCGAGCCTATAATAGTAAGTGCACAACATTGGGGTGGAGGGGGAGAGAAGAGGACGTGACACTTTACACTTTGATGAATTTACTTCAGCGTTGCGTGTAAATTGTTTTGCGTTTTGAATGAGCAATGGCGTCCACCCTGCGGCGGCGGCGTCTGTGCGTTGCCAGGGGCAACGGCGTTTCGCGCATGCGCAGCAGCGAGCCGGGCGGTAAAGTAAATAAATAAATAAAGAGGAATCGCGCCGAATCGTTAATTGAACCACTTTAAAGGTGACGGACGGCAAAACGGAATAGCCTATGCCAAGCAGGGGGCCCGGGGCGTGTCGCCCGGCAAAATTTTTTTTCGCGAACCCCACGGTCCGAGAGCCAAATCCCTTGCAAGTGCGAGCGCGCGGAGACTTTTATATAAAAGGTTCAAGATATTCCCCAATTCATCACACGGGCTGTGAAGGCACACAATGAGAGGGCAAATGGCTATAAATATGCCTGGAAGCCCTAGTATCTTCAAAATAAATGTTAACCCAAAAACACCAAGAACACAATTTCGGCTGCCTGGCTGCAAAAGGAATATTTATAAAAGCAAAATTCAGCTAACTTAGCAAAGGCTGTTGAAAATAATAAGATTCGTATTATGTAGAAATGCATAAATAAATGTTCAATCGCAACTGAGAGGTATGAAGCAGTCTCAGATTTGCTTGACTGCTCGGATAAACAGATCTAACTTCAGAGGCATATATGCTGTGTTAATTTCCTGACTGTTTCCATTTAAAAAAAAAAGTTCAAGAGGAAAACTAAAATAAACTATTGTTATGATTTAACCTCCATGTTCAAGAGTTAATATACTTTACTGCAAATACAAACTTGACATTGTCACACACTGGCATGGTAAAAACGTGGTGGTGTGTCCAGAACCATGCCTGGCCACATTCATCTGCTCAGTATTAATGCTTCCTCACGTCACCATGTAATTAATTTAAGATTAATGAACATAGCAGAGGCCCACAATAAGTTCAGCTTTCAACTTATCAATCATGTTTGCTGTCAGCAAAAATCCAACTAATTGAGTTCATAATGCAGTGAAATAACTGCACCACTGCTCCCCACAAAGAAAAAACTCTTAAATACACACAGATTTCACATGAATCATTAACATATATAAACAAAACATCCACCCTTCCTGACGAATTGCACGTAACCTTATCCCAGTGCTAATGCTGTGATAGGTGCAATTTAAGGCCATGTAAGTGTGGATTCCTTTCAGCAGGTAATGGGAATGAACCAGGTGTCAAGGGATGACTGACAGATGAACCAGCTGTGCTCCCCACTGTCTTGCTGAGTTTTAGAAACCCAGAATTCCACCTATTCATGTAGGCATTGCTCTTCCGACCTCAGTTGTTGCAGAGCAAATGTCTCTTATCTGCCATGCAGCATACCTTATGGGCCTCCTCCACAGAGGCCGATCTTTACTCCTGGCACCAGTCATTGGCAGGTCCGATCACCTCCACATCCTCCAATCTCTTCTCTAGCCAATGCCATGCCCGTTCAGCCCCTAATATCTGGACAAGCAAAAGCTGCTTGAGCATGCAGTGTCTGGGAATGTGGGATTCATGACCGAACCAATGCAGCCTCGCCTGCCAAAGAGACTGAAGATTATATTCTATATTGATATCTTAAGGATCTGTAAGCTAATTACAATATAGTCTGGTTGAATATAGGATGAATCATAGGCAGGCCAGCCTTCATTGTATAAGCCAGCACAGATGGTAATTTAAATAAGTTCATATTTCGAATCCACAGAGTAATATCTGTGGCAAAGAAGAATCACAGCTTTATTCGTTAATTTCTAAAAACGCTTGTCCTGGCGAGGGTCGCGGTGGCAGCATGCTGAGTAGGGCGGTCCAGACCTACCTTTCCCTGGCGACAGACTCTAGCTCATCCTGGGGAATTCCCAAGCGTTCCCAGGCCAGCAGAGCGACATAGTCCCGCCAGCGTGTCCTGGGCCACCCCCGGGGTCATCGCTCAGTGGGACGTGTCTGGTAGAGTTCCAGGGGGAGTCTATTGGGGGGCATCCTTACATATATTCTATATTGATATCACCCCTAGAGCCAGGCCCAGCGGTTGTGTTCGACCAACAAGCGCGCCGTGGCCGCGTGACCCACGTAACTCAGTCGGGTAAGCTCAAAATGGCTAAGTGGTGCAATCCTGTGCGTCGAACATCCGCAGGATAAAGGGTGAGGGGCAGGTGCGATGCCAGTATGGCAGGGAGAGGAATGGTCTCAAGATGGACTAGACCTTGGCGATGGACACTCCAAAGATTTGTATGTAACGTCCAGGCACCTTCCACACAGTGTTACACAGTCTAATGAAAGAATGCTGCTCGACTAATTTGAAGTGAGACTTTGGTTGCCAAACCAGAGCTGGTCATGAACACATTGACCAGGTATGGGAGCACCTACAACACTTGTAAAACTGCCTGATATTCATGGAGAGTTGAGGAGGTGCAGTGTTGTATGACATGAGATTCCCAGGCAGGTGATTTATTTTTGTGGAACATTTGCAAGGCCCCATTTCATGATGGAATTATCAAGGCACAGAACAAGATTCCATAATTCCATCTCATTAAGTAGCCATTACCAGATCATCAGCAGATGTAACATGGTTGACCAGCAGGGAATGATCCTTTACCTATAACCAGTCATCGATTAGCGTATCATTGTAACCGTAACGAATGCAATGGTTTTTATATGACCATTGGGAGCTTCTTAAACGACATAGTTATTTCTTGATTTAAAGCTTTCGTGAGAGAGAAAGCTGCTGAGACAAGGTCTTATATAGGCCTGAGATGGGTACATCAAGGTAGGTGGGTGGAGCTAGAGATGGTCCAGCCACAGAGGCTGGGGCAGAGGCCTTTGTATTGTGAGAGATTGGCCTGTCCTGAGATGGGTGCATCATTGGAAGGACGTGATTAACCAGGTCAAGTCTTAACTTGCTATGATGTTTCCATCCTGTCTACCGATGTTAATTGACTCTCTGAGTTTCATTACTAGCTTGGATGTCTTTGTATTGACAGGCTGGGTGTCCAAAGCCACAGCCTCTGTGGTTGGACCATCTCTTGCTCCACTCACCTACCTTGATGTACCCATCTCAGGCCTATATAAGACCTTGTCTCAGCAGCTTTCCCTCTCTCTCACCGTACGATGATTGCTCGTGTTGCGATCGAAACGTCGTGACCTATTGTTTTAGATCTACGGAACTTGACCGAAAGACCCAAAAAGTACATAGTTATTGAAGATGCTATGTAATGCATGGCGCCAGAGTGAATTTCTGTCAGAAATGGCTCCGACTCCAGGTCAAGCAGCCTTAGACCATCCTGCCCAAAATCATACAAATCCTCAAATAATGTGAGCAGAGGCATAGATTTGAAAACGAATAACAACCCAAAGCCCCAAGCCTCTTTATGGTACAATAAGCCTTAATTAAATCAATAGTGCAGAGATCTAGTTTCTGTTGAAAATCCGTAAGCCTCTGCTGTAGTCAACAGACATAAAATTAATTGCCGCGCGAAAGCTAAAAGCGCGATATTCAATAATTAAGCCTGACCTAAGTAATGGCGTTAGGTAAACGTCAACTACAATTCACATCACAATTAAAATAAGTACTGGACAGTATTTCAAATAAATTAAACAATTAAAATAAACACGGAGAAACCGTATGCAAAAAAAAATATCCCAAGACAAAAAATAGCACAACTCAATAAATGATAAAAGAGGAAAAGCTCTTCTTATATTTTGATACTGAAGTAGTGAGCCAGGTGAAGACAAATTAAACTTTAGCAGAGAATTAAAGCAAATGCAATCAGGCGAGGGCAGGAGGCAAGGCCCCGCAAGGCAAGGCCCCGCGTTGTAATGTTCCAACCTGGACATCGATTCCATACTCGCTGCTACTCAATTGATACCCCTACGAGAGAGAGAAGGAGCGAGGCTCTACCTGGGTAAACAACAACAACCACCACCACCACAACAACCACGATGTGAACTTCTCACCTCGGATCTCAGTGAACGCGCGCGGTGCAGCAGTTTACGAATATATCGTGACGTCACGCGGCAGCTGGAGGTGACATGACGTCACTTGCGGGGTTCCAACACAGAATCCCCTTCCCCAACGAGCGGCGGTGTAACTGAATAAATTATGTTAATGAGACGGTCCCATGTACAGTGATGAGGCGTGGATGCTGAACCCGTCGCAAGAACGCGCGACGGTCTTTATTAATAAATTATGTTAATGAACCGCCAGTGACAGTTTCATTTATTAGGTACTAGCGGGAAGCACCCGGCGTTTGCCGGGGGAAAAAATTATTGAAAAACTTCTCAAAACTTAAAAACATAACATATACAAATGAAATTTTTTTCATCATTATATCAATTTTTTTAAAATAAAACCCAAAACGCGGTGGAAAAAAAACTTACGCTCGCGCGCCAAGATTCGATTCTTTAGATCGCGAAAAGGAATCGAAGGTTGTAGATTTCTTTAGAATCGGCCTATTTCTCTTCTTTGGTTCTTTCTTCTTTGGTTCTTTCGGTAAAGTCACGTAGAATGAGAATAAAATAATAAATTGATAAAATAAAATAACACAATATTCTCACGACGTTTCGGCCACAACACAAGCGGCCTTCAGGTGAAGGGACGAGACCTATTCCCGTTTAATCGATAACACAAACGCTCACCAGATATCGATTCTCGCCACGCACTTTTTTTCCAGTTTCAGTTTATTTGGTATAGCCCTGTGAGCCATTCGGCCATTCGGCTCTTGAATCGGGTGCAACCGCAACAAACAAAAAAACACGAACAAGAAAACATCTTAAAGTGACTATGTGACTGTGCAAACAGAAAATCCATGAAAAAACAGCAAAATATTCCTGAAAAAGCACCGTACACCAACGCTGTGTGCAAAAATCCCAGTGGGATGCAAGTCAAACAACAACCACAATACAACTTATCATCAGTCTAACTCCGTACTAAAACAAACAAACATGGCCAAACCAAAAAACGTTTTCGAAATCACCAAAATAAAGCCATAAATGTGTGGTGCCACAACAAGTGAAGCCGCTCCGTCGAAACCTGGGCTGTCGCTGTGCTGCTGCGACCGAGAAGCCACCCGGCTCCCATCACAGCAACCCTCCCCCCCACCCCGCATAAACACACACACTCAAGTAGGGCCTCATGGGGAGGGGGGGCACTTGCCCTGAGTTTTTACCCGAGAGGCCCCCTCGTGGGGGTGCTCCACGGTTTCTCAGGGTCAGGGAATTGGCAGGCCCCCCCAGGCCAAATGGCACTGCGGCGCCGTGGCTTAACTTAGAATTAAATGACCACGGCGCACCCACACTGAGAGCGGCCACTGCTGCAGCGGCCTCACGACTGTGCAGGGGGCCCAAAACGCGGACGTCTGAGAAGGCACCGGCCCCGGGAGAGTGGCAGAAAATCCGCGGCATCGGTGATGGAGCCGCGGTGGTGGGCGCGGTTCCTCTGGAGCGGCTCCGTCTGCGGCGGCGGCACCACAGGTGCTGGGCGTTATTGTTGGTGGCTCAGCTAATTGGAGAGTATATAGAGTTTATTGATAACATTGAGGTGGTTTATATTTTGGTTTTACTATATGGTATTTATTACATAGTGTAGTGTATACCCAGTTGCTTTGCGATTAATAGCTCAGCTTATTGAAGAATATATTAAGTACAATTATTATATTGATGTAATAAAGACTTAGTTTTTTTCTCACGTTGGTTTACTGTTTGATGGTTGGGTAGTTGGAGGCCCTTTATCGTCCATATACTAAATGCCTCTGTTGATATGTAAACTTTGACTTTAACACACAAGCTAATCCCTAGCTATTTCAATGCTAAATTCTCCTGCTTTCTAGTTGCATCACACCTATCACCGGGCTTAAAAGACGCCACGAATCTCAGCAGCACTCATTGAAGCACTGTCGTCCCGACAGGTCTGTTCTATCACCTGAAGAAGGCCGTTTGTGTTGTGGCCGAAACGTCGTGAGAATTTTATTGTCTTATTTTTATTTTATTATTTTATTCTCATTCTACGTGACTTTACCGAAAGAACCAAAGAAGATGTCTTATTGTTGTTGTTATTGTTTGACTTGCATCACACTGGGATTTTTGCAGACAGCGTTGTAATACGGTGATTTTTTTTCTAGAAAATTTGCTGCTTTATACCAGGATGTTTTTGTTTCGCGTCGTAGCTTCAAGATGTTCTCTGTTCATAGTTTGTTTGTTGCGGTCGCACCCGACTGAAGTCAAGATTTAAATCAAATAAAACTTTAACTCCTCTCTCCGACGTCACCAATGCATTACCTCATCGGCGTGAGACGCGAGGGGAGTTGTGCCCGCTAGTGACGTCATGTCACCTCCTGTTGTCGCATGACGTCACGAGATACCAGGAAACTGCTTATCCGCGCGCGCGCTCACTGAGATCCGAGGTGAGAAGTTCACATCGTGGTTGTTGTTGTGGTGGTGGTTGTTGTTGTTTACCCAGGTAGAGCCTCGCTCCTCTCTCTCTCGTAGGGATATCAATTGAGTAGCAGCGAGTATGGAATCGATGTCCAGGTTGGAACATTACAACGCGGGGCCTAGCCATGCGGGGCCTTGCCTCCTGCCCTCGCCTGATTGCATTTGCTTTAATTCTCTGCTAAAGTTTAATTTGTCTTCACCTGGCTCACTAATTTGAAACTTTGTTTCTTTGAATTATTTCTACAGTTTTTGTTATCTTACCAATGCCAAGCACACTTGAGCTGTACCGGTCTTTTTCAGAAGCAACCTGCCCACAACAAAGTGGATTATCAACGTGTGGAAATGTCTGTCGGTCAAATACTCTAAACGCGTGGTGATGTTGACTCTAAATGTGCAGGGAAAACCGGAAGATCCGGAGGAAAATCCACGCGACCACGGGGGGTGAGACACGAAAACTCCAAATATACATCCTTAATACAGGTTTGTTTGGGTTAGATCGCGTAAATATATAAATGTGTCGTTAAACCGGCACACCGGTGTGGTGGAGAGCCAAGCCACATTTACAATCTTGAGTACGACGTTTTGCCAATAATTACAACCAGCTTCAGCAGGCGACAACCACATGTTGTGGCTTGGCTCTGTGGAAATATAAATCGGCTCGCTGGGATTATAGCTCAGCATGCTAACTGTTGCACTACCGCTCCCCACTCACGCACAAACATCATTGAAAGTATAGTATTTATTCAGTACTAGCTAAGTTACCCGGCTTCGCACAGGTCTTAATAATCAAACATTATGAGTAATGTCTTGCCATGCTGGCTTTGTTAGAATAATTTATTTCTGACAATAAAGTCGGTAAATGTGTGCTTTTTTGTAACGATTTTTCGGTTGTGTTATGCAATTGTAGGGCTTGTTTTCATAATGAGGGCAGCTTTCAAAACCTTTGCCCTCGGAGAGCTTCAATATAGACAATGTTGGATGTTTTGCCATCTGATAGGTTCAATCGAATGAAGCTTAAATTTTGGCATACATGTCGACAGCAAATTAGTGGAAGAGCCCTTTGCATCTCAAGAAGAGATTGAAGCTGCAGTTTCGTACCATGATCCTGAAGGCAAAGACGTCCATGGCGGAAATCTTAATTTGTTTTGGCAAGCCTGTTGCTGGGTCAGTTTGGGGGAGTAGGAAATGGTAGCCATCATCACATTGCAGGATTTCCATCTTGGTGTTGATGACATTTATGCAATGCTAGTGAGCCTGTTTAGTAGTGTCAGACATGCAAGTAGATCTGTGAGAACAAATATAGCAGTGCAGTGGAGACACTTATGTTATGGTGAGTGCGTGGAATTGTAGTAGATGAAATGTCAAAATGTGTTTGCATGTGTGGCAAACTGGAATTAGTGATGGTCTAACGCTGCGTGACCAGGAGTCCGAGCCATTTCCTGTTCAACATGGCTTGTGACAGAAATTCACTCTGGCCCCATGCATTACATTACATAGCATCTTTAATAACTATGTAGTTTGAGAAGCTCCCAATGGTTATATAAAAACCATTGCATTCGTTACGGTTACAATGATACGTTAATCAATGCCTGGTTATAGTTAAATGAGCATTCCCTGCTGGTCAATCATGTTACATCTGCTGATGATTTGGTAATGGCTACTCAGTGAGATGGAATTAGGGAATCTTGTTCTGTGCATTGATAATTCCATCTTGAAATGGGGCCTTGAAAATGTTCCACCAAATAATAATCTGCCTGGGAATTTAATATCATACAACACTCACCTGCTCAACTCTGCATGAATAATCAGGCAGTTCTACAAGTGTTGGAGGAGTTCCCATACCTGGTTAATGTGTTCACGACCAGCTCTGGTTTGGCAGCCAAAGTCTCACTTAAAATTAGTCGAGCAGCATTCTTTCATTAGACTGTTACACTGTGTGGAAGGTGCCTGGACTTTTGCTCCATACAAAGCTTTGTGTCCATCGCCAAGGTCTAGTCCATCTGAGACCATCCCTTTCCCTGCCATACTGGCATCGCACCCGCCCCTCACCTTTCATCCTGCGGATGTTCGATGCACAGGATGGCACCACTTAGCCAATTCAAGTTGCGTTGGTCACACGGCCACGTGGTGCTTGTTGGTGAATGCAGCCCCTAGGCCTGGCTCTAGGGGTGATATCAATATAGAATATATGTAAGGATGCCTCACAATAGACTCCCCCTGGAACTCTACCAGACACGTTCCACTGGGCGAAGACCCCGGGCTGGCCCAAGACTATGCCGCTCAGCTGGTCTGGGAACGCTTCGGAATTCCCCAAGATGAGCTAGAGTCTGTCTCCAGGAAAAGGGAGACCTGGACCGCCCTCAGCATGCTGCCACCACGACCCTCACCAGGACAAGCGTTTTCAGAAACTTACGAACACAGCTGTTATTCGTATGTCCATAGATATAACTCTGTGGATGCAAAATATGAACTTATTTAAATGACCATCTGTGCTGGCATATACAATGAAGGCTGGCCTGCCTATGATTCATTTTCTATTCAACCAGACTATATTGTATTATAAGCTTATAGATCCTTAAGATATCAATATAGAATATAATCATGAGTCTCTTTAGCAGGCGAGGCTGCATTGGTTCGGTGATGAATCCCACATTCCCAGACACTGCATGCTCAAGGAGCTTTTGTTTGTCCAGACATTAGGGGCTCAACAGGCATGGCATTGGCTAGAGAAGAGATTGGAGGATGTGGAGGTGATCGGACCTTCCGTTGACTGTTGCCAGGAGTGAAGATCGGCCTCTGTGGAGGAGGCCCGTGAGGTATGCTGCAGGGCAGTTGGAGATATTTGCTTTGCAACAACGATGAGGTCGGAAGAGTGACGCCCACATCAATGGGTGGAACGCTGGGTTCCTCAAACCCAGCAAGACAGTGGCGAGCACAGCTGGTTCATCTGTCAGTCAACCCTTGACACCTGTATCATTACCATTACCTGCTGACAAGGAATCCACACTTACATGGTATTAAATTGCACCTTTAATGGTATTAGCATTGTGATAAGATTACTTCCAATTCGTCATGAATGGTCGATGTTTTGTTTATATAATACTAGCGGGCAGTACCCGGCATTGCCCGGGCGAAGAAGACACACACACACATCAACTTACACATACACATCGACTCACGCACGCCCATAGACTGACACACACACATGGACTTAGACACACACATTATGATTGTAAAAATTACGAACTTAATAGATAAATATTAGTTGTCTACACACACACACGACGCACACACATTGACTAACACACACATTGACTAACACACACATCGACTGACACACACACATCGACTGACACACACACATCGACTGACACACACACATCGACTGACACATACACATCGAATCGCGCACACACACAGCGACTTGCATACACACATCGACGCACACACACATACATAGACTCGCACACACATAAACCTACACACACATGGACTCACACACACAGCGACTCACACACACATGGACTTAAACACACACATTCATAGTCACACACACATGGACCCACACACACACACATGGACTTACACAAACACACATATCGACTAACACACACATGGACTCGCACACATATCGATGTACACACACATTGACTGACACACATCGACACACATACAAACACATTGACTTATATACACACACACATTGACTTACAAATGCACATAGACTCACGCAGACACACATTTCGACGTATACACACACAGACATCGACAGACATGCACATGGAACTACACACACACATATGGACTTACACACATTGACTGACACACACATCGACTTAAACACACACTGCACACACACATGGACGTACACAAACAAACAGTGACTGTCACACATTGACTCGCACACACATTGACGCATACACACACGGACTCGCACAGACACAACGCACACACATATATGGACTCACACGCCCACATAGATGTACATGCACACTCTCACTTTTATAGTGACTAAATAAGTTTGTAAATAATAGCTTTCTATGTACATGACTTTAGGGAAAGAAGCAAGGGAGAGGGGAAATGCACGCGTGTATAATAAGTCATTAGGAGTGACTGCGAGGGTGTTCCGCAATTTTGGTGCATTCATTTGCCGCGAGCACGAGCAGCAAATTACTGAAAGTCAACGAATACAAAATGAACCTAACCTACCTGTAACTATGAACAGATGCGCACCAATCAAGCGTAATTGACATACCGTCACTACTCAAACCCCCTACTGAGGGAGGCAAGTGTAAATATAGAATGAAGACGTAATTGAGTATATTTATTGGTTTGCCATCTGTGCAGTAAGTGATATTGCTTGACTGCTTATGCCTCAAGAGTCCAGAATAAGGCTATTCTTCAACAACATTGGTTCATCCATGTCAGTTAATGTGTAACATTTAAGAGGCAATTCGTAATGAGTAAACAGTCATGGCAATACATGTGTGAAGGGAGCTGTGAATCTGTGCATGTTACCTTGCGCAGTGTTCACACGAAAGAGAATTCTCCCCTCACCCCCACCGAACGCGTGTGACTTGGTAGGGGCCCGCCCCCCCCCCACCGAACGCGTGTGAGTTGGTATGGTCGAACGCGTGCTATGTAATAAATACATAAAAATGCAATCGCTAATTAAACTACTTTAAAGGTGACGGACGCGAAATCGGAATAGCGCTTGCTCATCACGGGGCTTGTGGCATGGTACCTGGCTACTTTTTTTTAACCTAAACCCCACGGTTTGAAAGCCAAATCCTTGGCAACTTTCGGCCGCACACAGATACATAGATACGCACACAGACAATGACAGCGGGGAAGTACCCAGCGTTGCCCGGGCGAAAAATATATTTCAGAGCTTATTATTTTCATTTTGTTTTATTTTTCTACCTACCGAAAGAACCAAAGAGTATATTTATAAACTTTTCTTAAAAACATTACATATGCATACACAGATACTAAACTATTGTGAAAGCCCGATGGGCCGTTTGTCCATTTCTCCACCAACAAAATTATAAGAGGCTTGCAGAAATCCAATAAGTTATAGAAAGTGGGGGGTAAGTAGCTGATATAAAAGGTTTCCGAAAATTGTCGACCTCCCCCCCCCTCAAATATTTTTACCCCCGCATGGGTACCTGCTTTCACTACAGCAGTGCATAGTGACTGGTGGAACCTGCAATGATTACAGCAGTGCATACTGACTGTGGTGATGCCTGCTATTATTACAGCAGTGCATACTGTGGTGGTGCCTGCTATGATTACAGAAGTGCATACTGACAGGTCGTACCTGCAATGATTACAGCAGTGCATACTGACTGTGGTGGTACCTGCTATGACTATAGTAGTACAAGCTGACTCTTTAGCAGTATATATGGACTCTATAGCACAAAGTAACAACCTGACAGAGT